GAAAGAAAAGTGCACTATGTTGAATCAAGTTGGATAAAGGATCCATATTCAAATTGCATGAGTTTACATCTTCCACTAAAATTCAAGTGATACAAAGAAAGTGCTGAGTGGTTAGCAAGAAAGAGCCAAGTTATAAAAATTAACATAGAATTAACATTCTCAAGATTTATACCTTCCCTAATGTATAACTTAATTTAGATACTGTTACCAGTATATGTAGAAGACTAACCCTAAAGACCACGAAAACATGCTGTAATGAGTCAAATATAATCACTGTTTTTTTCCTAGGTTTCAAAGCACAGACAAAACATCATTTCGCAGTCTCTCTATGCACTAATGGAATCATCTTCTGACTGCTCAGCAAAGAATCTGAAAAACTGGGTGGGTAACTACATCATGCTATAAGGTAACCTAAGCATTTAGTGTTAAAAACAGAACTACTCATCAACTCAATGAAATTAACATATTTATTTAATCTGTCAGATTTGATTAATTTCTAACAACATCATTCTTATTCAACTTTGGACACCTCAAAAGCAGCTGGTATAAAACAACATAGATCCAGCCAGGTCAGCAACCACATGAGATTTTTACCCCTAAGAGCCTGGGCCAGAGATACTCAGCAAGAACTTCAGACAACCACAGAACTGTATCTTGAATATGACACTACTGTTCCCTAGCTCAGGATGTTGCATTTTTCCACATTTTTGCCCAGATCACTGGAAACAAACATCATCCCAACTATCTAAAGGATCCAAAGCAGATATATTTCTACCCCAAAGTATCTTAAGCTCAATTTTCAAGCTTGCTATTTGGTTTTGTTTTTATTGACACTTTCCACCTTCTACCAGCACAGCATACCTTCTCTAATTTTGCATGGATCACTAACATCAGAAATCCAATACTGAATATATTAACCACTGAAACCTGGACAGTGCTGCAACCCACTGAACTAGTTTGCTTTCACTCAAGATGCATTCTTAAATAGTATTATCAACAGTTTCCAACCAGCCTGATAGGTTTTGCCAAGCAACCACTTTAGTTACTGTGAGACTAACACGCATGTGCAGGTTGATGCAACAGATGTTTGTCCAAGGTGGGAATTCTGTTGTCCTGGGACAATATCTGTCTTCCCACGCAATGAAGGGAGTCTTGAAGACAGTATGGTCAAAAGTGAAGGCCATACATATACAGAGAACATCCCTCCTATCATCTGTTTAGCAGAGAGGATTTCAGAAGAATCTACTATTCACATTACAGAAAAAAAATAAACCTCAAAACATTACAGTTGTAGACCTGGTATTCCATGTTTGGCAATCATCATAGCAGCTCACAAAGTTTAAAAAATTACCAGTTACTGGCTTTGGAATAAAGGTATAGTGTGAGATTGATTTTGTAACTCATAATGCTTGTTGAAGGCAAGGAAAACTTTGCTTTTTCGCAGCTTGACAAAGTCAAGCTTGACTTCACCAAGTGCTCCATGTGAAACTGTCATCATTGTAGCATACTATCATTAACTGTTACGTGAAAGCCATGTTTTCACTTACTTTGCACACTGAGAAGGTTCAGCGCATATATATATATATACACACACACCCCCCTCTTTGGCTGAACTCTACTCTTGGAAGAATTTTTGTCTAATTCATTGACTGCATTGTGACTCTAGGATGAAGATTTGTCGCACTGGTTATCATTTGTGTGTTATTCCCAAATGAGATAAAATCATTTTCCCTTAAGTAGTTCACTCCAAAGCGGGGGGGGGGGGGGGGAAAAA